AGTGTTGTTCAGCATGGGGGTGAGTAGAAAATGAAGGCTAATCATGTTTTGGGTGTACTATTCCTTTAATATCCAGCGAGTGGACATGGAGATTATGGACCACACATTTTTTGCATTCAAAATGTATTTTTTCCCTTACTGAACACTGTTTTTATTTTTTTTATTATATATTTTTTTTTTAATGAACTATTGTATTCTATTTTGCCTGGCAGTTGTGTTATTTCAGGCTCCAAGTGGTTACAGAGTTTTTATATGCATCTCATACATGAACCTTTAAGGTGTTATATTTCAGAGGATCAGCCATGTTTTGTGTTTTAGGAACAAATGAAAAGCTTGTTGGAGATTTATATGGAGAAATCTCCTAAGGCCTAAAAGGGGCCCAATCTGGATCATTGTTAATGTTTTCTAAAAATAGTTTTTGTGAAAATGTTGTAGGAGCATTATAGGTCCTAAAATTTCACAGATTGATTATGCTAGTTACAACCATATGGTGTATTGGCCTGAATCAATTCTTTAATCTGTCCAAAACTAAAAAATCTGAAGGAATTGTTTAGGAAGGTAGTCTGTTTCCTGATGACTCATTTAAGCAAAAAAACAAAAACAAAACGAAGACAAACAGATATTGGATCCCATTATAGACTTCTAACAAATCTGATCAATAAATCTGATGTAAAGTTTGGAAAATATTTGGTGACATTACTGAAGCCCGTCAAAAAGAAAATCAGCTACTATTTTGATCTATTTAATTCATTAATCACCATCTTTAAGTTAACTAATAACTTTTTTTTAAAAACCATTTACCTTAAAGGTGTCAAATAAAATAAATGTCTGCATAAGAGCGATACTTTAACTCATCTTAAACAGATTAGGACAAATTCTATAATTTATAAGACTTCAAATTCATGTTAATACTTATCGCAGGATTCAGAAACTCATTTGCACATGTTAAGAGGTTCCATGATCTAAATGGTTAAAGATATTTTCAAGATACAAATGTGTTTAAAAGGTCAGATTATGGTGTACCGTTTGAGGTGAAACACACAACACAAAATATATTCATGCTTCGCTTTTAATCACCTGATAAAAAAGTATTTCAGATTTCATTTTAAACACAATATACAATATCATACCATACATTGTGTGAAACATTTATTAAGCCACCTCCAACAACTGGTGGATTTAAACAGATTGACAATAAAAAATAAAGCAACCCATCTTTCATGCAGATAGTGCTAAATCTGGCTAACCATTTGGACACAACTAGGACCTAAAAAAGCTTGAACATAGATAACATTAATACTGACAAATCCGTCTGTCAAAACTGCTAACGAGTTTGGTCAGAAGAGTTCACACATTAGCACAGTTATGCAAGATCGGGATTTGTTAACTCAGAACAACTAGCATTAGTGCTGGGCATATTATAGCATGCTACTGATGATGTCCCCTACTTTAGATGAAGTGCATTGGGGGTAAAAGGAGACATTCACTTTGTGTTTGTCTGTCAAATTCTGTCTGGCTTATGTGGACTGTCAATTCTGACAGAATTGAGCTATTTGTGTACTTTGAAACGTAGCAATACTTAGCTTCAATATCTCTTAGCTAAATTGAATGTAACCTATCAGCTTTATTAGCCTATACAGTTTAAATGTCCTCCATGTGGCCTTTTGGTTACCAAACTGTTGATGTCACATAAAAGCCTTGTAACCCAAGATGATTAACTGGAAAAAAGGATTACATTTGAAAAAAAGGTCCCTATTAAATTTATTGTCATATTTATTAATATTACGAACATTTTTGGTTTATGCTTGTGCATCAGTAAGTTGTAATTTTAGTGTGAAAAAAAACAAAGAAGCATAAAAAAAAAACAAAAAAAACTCGTAGTTACAAGGTTTTCATATGACTCAACATGCCTCTTTAGCTGCTGCTCTGCTGGGCACTCAAAATATTGTGCGAATATATACTTATATATAATTATATATATATATATTTATGTAAAAACAATCTACATTTATATAAAAAAAGACTCTATTCCAGAGTCTTCTACACATTAGACACCACCACTTCCAGGTAATGCAAGTGCATATAAATTAAAATAGATTTTACACTAAACCAGTATTTGTTATTTACAAGCTAAAAGTAGAGAATAAATACACACTGTTATAAACAGCAAAAAGGACCAACTTGAGCTCATAGCGACAAAAGATGGAGACAAATTTAAGGTTATTTAAGGATGGTAAGGCCTGATCCAAACACACACAGACGATGGACTCCAATATAAAACACACATACTGCACACATGATTGCCACTAAAGCATGCTTTGGGGAAATTTAACTAAGTACCTTTGAGCATTAGTAAACCTATATGAAAGTGAGCGGATTTATGCAGCTAGGGTATCCATTATGATCAGATGTAGGAGGGCCTGCAAACCATTTTAAAGCTTTTAGGAGCATTTCTAGTTCCTTTACAGGTCCTGTGCTTTACTGCATCCTGCTGGATTCAGCTGATGTCGGTTAGCAGATTCTTATTTTTGGGGTTGTTGTGTCAGAGCCCAGAGGGATGTGTAAACCATGTGAATTCTCTCCATCAGTGTGTTTCAAAGGCTGCAGTAATTGCACCTTTAATCATCAGTTCTGGTCCTGATTGTGGGAAATGCAGCGGCGTGTCACATCAGACTGATCTGGGTTCTGAACCTCGTCCGGCTAACAGGATTATTAGGACTGGAGCATACCTGGGAGCTAAAAATAGACTCGCCACTGTTGTGCATTTCGTCTTTGGCAGACTTAATTTCCAGTTTTATGCTTGATCCGAGCCGCAGGACGTCAAGAACCATTAGTGTCATGTTATTAAACACTTTACCGGATCAAAATATTTGGATGTTGAAAAAAATCCCTAAAAGTTATTTGGGTGAAAAAGCAGAAAAGCTCAATGGTTTGCAGGTCACCCCCCCCCAAAAAAGTGGAGGATAGAAAAATATGTGTTTAGGTGCAAATAGAGACATTCATTGACTGATCCAAAATGCATCATGAACTTGAACTAAACTCATGGGGATTCCATCTGTACTCTGATGGAACACAAATTGTGTAATGATGGTATACATTTTCTCATTTCATGTACTGTAGACGCGTCCAAGACATTTGCTTGGATTTCACTATTGCCCAATACGTGGAAGACTTTGCTCTTTAACATACAAAAAAACCTCCTTTTTTTTTTACTTTTTTCATAAAGGAAATAAAAGTATTTCACAAACACTAGTGTGTTTAATAAATAAAAAACTATTATAAAGACAGTTGTAAAAAAGGCACACAAAAAGTCCTTAGACAAATGGTACAGAAATAAGTAAACACTTTCTCTTTCTATACAAATGTGTCTCCATCAGTAGATCTTACTCTATGCTACTTCAAGATCTTATATCTGTAAAAAAAAGACAAAAAAACAAAACATTTTAAGGTACAAAACTTCTCTCAGTAGTGTCATTGTCCATGTAATGCAAGTCCAGAAAAGAAAAGGAGCCATTTTTCAAACTGGCTGAAATCCTTCAAGTTCCACTTTCGTCCATCGAGACTAAAATGTTCGCAGCAAGTAATTCCTGAGAACTCTGAAGCCACCTCTGTGAAACTGTCCATCTGTGTCTGGCTTCAAACACCCAAGTGCAAGTTGCCCCTCAGCGGGCCAAAACTAAGCCCTCGCTTCTGCGGGCTTCTTAAAAAGCAACAGCTCCAAGAGGGTAACCACCTCTTTTCTAAAAACTTTCAAATCACCATCACAGCATGTTGCTGGAAGCCCTATGTGTCTGTGGGTGAGGCTTCGTGCGTCACGATCTCTATCGCCGTCATAGGCTCAATCGTGATGTCTTCTTCTTCTTCAGCCTGACTGTCCAAAAAGTCCGTAGGAGGGGAACGGGAATTCGGGAGACTATCCTCCACCTCTATTTCTTCATCTTCTCCTTCCTCATCCTCCCCGTCACCGTCTTTTTCCATCCCGTCTAAGTCTTCCTCCTCCAACGTCAAGTCAAATTGAAATTTCTCCCCTCCTCCTTGTCCTCCTCCGCTGTGTCCATGCGTACCCTGGTCATAAAAGGGTGGGGAGGGACTTTGGGGAATCATGCTCTGGTACCAGTTTCTGTTGTCTTCTAATGTGTCCAGAATGTCCTGAGCATCGGGGTGAACCAAGTCCGCCCAGGTCTCCCACAGGGGGTGAACGATGTAGTCAATAAAACCCACCTTGGAGAGAAAACAAAATGAGGGTTAGAGGATTTATTAGTTTTTTGTTGTGATATGTAAGATGTCTGCCTTTGTTGCTAACATACCTGACTCTTCTCCACAGATGCTGTGTGCTTATCACACATGGGGCTGATCTCCATCCCCCGCTCCCTCTCTCTGTCCCCTTGGTGGAAGAACTCCTCCATAATGCGGTCAGTCCACTGACGATACAGCTCCAAAGACTTTGTGGGATTGCTCAGATCGGCACAGTGCACCATGTTACGCAGCACCTGCAAACAGAAATGTCAACCTTGCTTATAAGCTCTCTATAATCTAGAGATCGGTGTTTTCCTCTTAAAATGTGAATCTAACACGTACCTGTATCCTGTCTGTGTAATTGTCTAGCAGCAGCACTCCGGAGCTGGTCACCTTCTTGGTTTCAACCATAGTCTTCAGGTCGGCCAACAGACTCATGTGTTTGGACATGTCAGTAGCCAAAACCTGATAAAGACAAAATAAAGAAACCATTTTTAGTCTCGCATTAATGGTCAACTGTTAAAGTTTGATTGGTTAAAAATAATTTCAGTGACATCCTGGAGGAGTGTAGCCTCGTGAGACCATCCTGATCTCGCGAGCTTTCAAGGTTTCACTCGCAGATCAGTCTGGCTACTTTCCGTTAAAGAAAATTTGGAGCCGTTCCCCAAACGAACGTCCAATCAGCGTTGGCTTTGAGGCGGGTTGAGGTGT